GCAGGAGTTGGTAAAAATCTTTTAATTTCTTTGGCTTTGGCTTTAATGGTTGGTGTTGTAAATTTGAATAGTAGTAGTATTAACTGGTCTTCCTTGTAGGCTTATGGGTATTATCCTATCACTGACAGCATTGTACTTCAGGATAGACCTTCAAACATTTTGTGTGACAATGAATGCGACGCCATTCTGCTTCAATTTGTGATTCTCAACATAGTAGATCATATGATTGTCTGATTCTGTTTTATCTCACTAATGCCTATGATATCAATCTTTATGCATTCTATTTCATTTTTGACAACTTCTAGTTTTCCTAGATTTGTCCTTTGTACATTCCACATTCCAGTTATTAATGGATGTTTGCAGCTGTTTTTTCCCATTTTGAGTCATGCCCCCCTCCCCCAGCAAATGGAGATCCCTAAAGCTTTATTCCATCCATGTCATTAAGGTCGATTCTGCTTTGAGAAGGCAGCTTTTTCCCAGTCGTGTTTTGAGTGCCTTCCAACCTGAGCGGTTCATATTCGGCAATATATCAGACAGTGTTTCAGGGCTATTCATAAAGTTTTCCAGTAATATATCAGACAGTGTTTTACTGCTATTCATAAGGTTTTCACTGGCCAATTGTTTGAGAACTGGATGGCCCCTTACTTCTTCCCAGTCTTTGTTTGTCACGAAGCTCTGCCAAAACCTGTTCACGATGGGTGACCTTGCTGGTATTTGAAATACCACTGGCATACCCTCCAGCCTCACAACAATGTGCAAGCCACAGCAGTTCGACAAACTGAGGAACTGGTGAGGTATTTATGGATAGTGCTGCAAAAACAAGGAATTCTTAGGTTTATATCATCATTTTCCAGTGGGATTATTATATACAATAAATTATAAAAATGGTAATTTTTAAAATATGAATGTATACAGATTTTCACAACCTTAATGTATATTCATTTACCTTCCAGAAAGGTACCAGTATTCAGTATCAGTAGGAAAGGAAGACCTGTTCCCTTTATTCTGTCAATATAGAAGGCATTCACTTTTGTTTTCATTTGATTTATCATATGTATAATTTTAGTTTGTGAATTGCCTGTCATTTTTCTCTGCACATTTTTTCATTTTTAAAAATTAAATTTTATATTTTTTGTAATTTAAAAGAATTAATATTAATGCTACAGATTTTTTCCAGTTTATCATTTACCTTTTAGTTTAAGTTAAATATATAAATTCCTATGTAATTTAAATTACAACATCGAATTTAAAACTTACTATATTGCCAGATGTGTTTATCACTGTTTTCCTTCCATCCTCTGAAGATGTATGTATATGCATGTTTATCAACATACTTTTCTATAACTTTTTATAGTATCGCTTTTCACAAATTTTAAGCCATCTGGACTTTATTTTGGTTTATGATGTAATGGGTAGGGCTCTAACTATTGTTACTTTTAAATGGTATATGTCTCAATACCATTTAGTGAATTATTCTGTTTCCCCCATGATTTGATTGATATTGGTCTTGTAACATACAAAAAATATTACTCAAATTCTTTGGCACTAAAAATGTCTGTTATATTGCCGCTTTTGTAGAGTAAATACACTTGGCTTCATAGTACACAGTACCCTACCTGTGTAAATTGCATAACTGTAGTTAGTCATACTGAGAAAAACTGTACCACTTATTATTTTACTGGTCATGAAATCTTGCTCATAAATTCATTTGAAGTAAGGTGAAGGATGTGGGTAGAAGTGGAAAGGAAGCATCACAGAACTAAAGCTTCACCTTTGTTGTTGTTGTTATTTGCCATCGAGTCGGCCCCAACTCAGCGACCCCTCCTTGGGTTTCCGAGGCAATATCACTACAGAAGTAGGAATGCCCAACCTTCCTTCCGAGGAGTGGCTGGTGGGTTTGAACCGCCAGCCTTCTGGTTAGCAGTCAAGTGCCTTAGGCACTATGCTACCAGAGCTTCACCTTTAGGCTGAAAAATCCACCTTTCAACACTTAGTCTAACCTACTACACTATGTTTTGGGTTCAAACTGAGTAAGACTCAAGTTCTTTAAAACCTAATTCTACTAGATCTTCCCAGTCCTACTTCTAAGGTCATTAGTCCAGGTATTTGTAGTCTAGTATTTGCCATTTTACATAAAAATTATCTGTTTTTCTTTTCTTTAGGAATTTTAAAAAATATTTTATTATCTACTTACTTATATTTAGATACTAAAATATCTTTCTCTCTGTCTCACACTACAGCACACATTTAATGAAAAATCAAATGAGTTTGGACTGTTGAACTCAGAATTAGCACAAAAAATAATTTTTGAATATTTTTATGGTGATGACATTGTTTTATTGGTCTATAAGAATATATTTGTGTTACTCTTCTGTTTCATTATTTCTTAAGAATAATGAAAATAAGACTAGGTGATTTCTTCTGTATAAAATTTTATACAGTCATTTTATGCAATTCTATATGTCGTTTTTTATGAACTATTGTTTTACATTGCATAAAGCAAGAGTGCCATAATATGCAAGCAAGACCATCTCCATTTATTTTTCTCAAACATGCTTTGTGTGATTAGTTGTGATCTTACCATAAGATAACTGATTATTCAAGGATAGACCCCAGCCATCATTTGTTCATAGTTAAGAAGGAAGAGTAAGGTTTCAGGGATGGTTGGTTAATATCATTGGGGTCCCTGGGGTGGTGCAAATGGTTCCTTGGCTACTAACTGAAAGGTTGGTTGTTCAAACCTACCCGGACGTGCATCAGAAGAAAGGCCTGGTGATGTATTGCCAGAAAAGGTCACAACTTTGAAAACCTTCTGGTGCCCATTTCTACTCTGCCATACGTAGGGGCTCCATGAGTTGGAGTTGATGCAATGACAACTGATTTTTTGGTGAATATTGACTTATGGAATAATTTCAAGGTAGATGTTAAAAATTGAGGCATTTTCTGATTTCTTAAACTTGTTTTTCAAAATTTAGTTATGCGAAAGACATGAGATTGATTATGTTGGTTGATACTAAAATTATTATATTTTAATTGGGAGCGCTTGTGGTGTAGTGCCTAAGGCATTTGACTGCTAACCAGAAGGCTGGTGGTTCAAGCTCACCAGCCACTTCTTGGAAGGAAGGTTGGGCAATCAACTTCCATAGTGATACTGCCTCGGAAACCCAAGGAGGAGTCTCTGTGAGTCGGGTCTGACTCGACGGCAGTGTTTGTGTTTGTATATTTTAATTAGTGTAAGAATCAGTTTCAAGGCTTATTTTTTCATCTTAACACAAGGAAGTGGTATATTTATTTTTAAATATATCTCTAAGAAACTGAGAAGAAGCTCTGGTAGCGTATGCCTAAGGCACTTGACTGCTAACCAAATGGCTGGTGGTTCAAACCCACCAGCCACTCCTCAGAAGGAAGTTTGGGCAATCTACATCCATAGTGATACTGCCTCGGAAACCCAAGGAGGGATCACTATGATTCAGGTCCGACTCAGCGGCACATAACAACAACAACAACAACAAGAAACTGAGAATGGCTTGGCTTTTATCGTTTTTCATTTTTGTTAATTTTTTAAGGCACAAGTTACTATACACCAATTAACTAATGTTGATTTGTATTCCTATTTATAAACAGACACATCCAGTAGTTTTTTAGATAGTCTCTTGCTCTTGCTCTAATAGAAGTTACTTTTGCATTAGTGTTTTATTAGCAAGGTTTAGGCATAATATTGGGAGCTCTGGTAGCATAGTGGCTAAAGCACTTGACTGCTAACCAGAAGGCTGGCGGTTCAAACCCACCAGCCACTCCTTGGAAGGAAGGTTGGACAATCCTACTTCCATAGTGATACTGCCTCGGAAACCCAAGGAGGGGTCGCTATGAGTCGGGGCCGACTCGATGGCACATAACAACAACAACAACAGGCATCATAGTACTCACGTGGATTACTAAAGTAAGACCAATAATTTTATTGCTAAAGAATTAAATTAGCATCCAGAGTATTCCTCAATTTGAAAAGAAAACTGTTTTTTTCAGATATTTGTTTATATTGAATTGTTAAATTTTTCCCCTGTGAATGTATATACATATTATCTATACACATTTTGAACAAAATTCTGTTGCATTTTTCAACATTGCAAAAATAATACTGAAAAGTGCTTTGAACCATATTAATCAAACTTCTGACTTTGAGTATGCATTTAATACTTAGAGAGTCAATGTTTCTTTGTTATTCTAGTTTATGTGAAAATCACAGACTCTTATTTTAAAAGCAAGGAGCTCTGGTGGCACAGTGGTTAAAGCATTGAGCTGCTGACCAAAAAGTCGGTGGTTTGAACCCACCAGCCGCTCTGCGGGAGAAAGTTGAGGCAGTCTGCTTCCGTACAGATTTACAGCCCTGGGAACCCTATGCAGCACTTTTCCTCTATCTTGTAGGGTTGCTGTGAGTTGGCATCAACTCGATGGCAGTGTGTGTGGTACTGTGCTTTTCCTTAATTTTAAAAGCATTAGGTTTTTTTTTTTTTTTTTTTTGAGGATCAGTTTAACGATGATCTGTAGAAAGGCTGTATATGTATATATGGTGTTGCTTCACGTTGATTCTGATGGCAAACCCAAGTGTTCAGAGTAGAACTACTCCATAGAGTTTTCAAGGCTGTGACCTCTCAAGAGCATAGTTCCAGGCCTGTCTGCCTGTGTAAATGAAGGACGGGCCTGGGCTCTCAAGTCAGTTTTACTTTAACAGGGACATATGAAAGCAAATAATTGTAAATGGATCAAGATAAATGTAATAGTAGAAGTATGTACGTGCTGTGACCAAATTGAAAGCATGCTATGATTTATGGCAATATGAAGCAACTTTTTACAACTTTTGGTAATGATGCTGAGATTACAATTGAAAAAAGTCACGTTGTCGGTGTTCTAGAGTTGAATAGATTCTTATCCATAGAACCTGAAATATGTCTAGCACCAAAATTTTCCTTTTATGATTATAACTTACTAAGCTACGAACTCAGTTCCAGGGTTCCGCATGGTGGGTTTGCTAATATCATGGGTGGCAGTGGATTGCAGAACTTTACAATCGCTGCTGTGCCGTATACTCCAAATCTTCTACCGACGTCAAGCACATGGTGAGTTAAATTGATTTATTTAAATGCATTGCAAATTGTTTTTATTAATTCTGAATTCTCACTGGTCTGACTTCTGTATTGTTGGATTCAGAAGAACCCAATTCTGATCTCTGTTTAGGACTTTGGAATCACTGATAAATAAGTAGTTGTATCATTCCTTTCTCCTGATGTTTCTAGTGGGAAAGATGTTTTGGGAAAACATTACTTGTAATTTAGTTCAAGTATTACTAAAGTTACTAAATTGTCTTATTGATTATTTATTTTAAGCTGAAAGGAATTTATTTTCTTTCACTACATTCGAATGCTCTCTGGTAGCATAGTGGCTAAGGCACTTGACTACTAACCAGACGGCTGGCGGTTCAAACCCACTAGCCACTCCTTGGAAGGAAGGTTGGGCAATCCTACTTCCGTAGTGATACTGCCTCGGAAACCCAAAGAGGGGTCGCTATGAGTCAGGTCTGACTCGACGGCACATAACAACAACAACAACAACATTTGAATGCTAAAGGAAACTTCAGTGCAGCAGGGTTTTGTGTTTTTCTTTTTGAATATAACTTCAATGTTTTCCAATTTGAATGCAAATTTGAGAGAGTAGTTTTATGTTAATTATGAGTGATGTTTTCACTGCTAGACAAAACAATTGGACAATTCATAAATTTCGTATTTAATGGTGGTATATTTTTCTTTTAAAGCATCAACATGCTCAAGTTACCTGAATACCCAAGTAAAGAAATACTTAAGGACAGACTTCTTGTGGCACTACATTGTGGCAGCTATGGTTACACAATGGCATAATGAAGTCTGGAAAACTCATCTGACTACTGATGCACAATTCCAAGTGGCAGAAGTAATTTAGGAAACTGTCAACAGAAAGCAGCCTAAATGCAGCCTATAGGCAGGGCTGATGTTTAAAATTCATAAAGGATCAGGTTTCTTTCTTTCTTTCTTCATATTTTTCCTTTTTTTCCTCTCTTTTTTCCTTTTATGTTTTCTCAGTTTGTGATACAATTAGAAAAAATAAAAATCACAGTTAGACTTCATTTTAAAAAATGGTAATTAAAAATGGCAGAAACTGTCCTTCTTCATATTTTCTTAAATTTGTCCAAGATTGTGTCATGGTAAAAATCTTATTCTACATTCCACTACTGCTATGTAACTGTCTTGTTAAAAGGATTTTCTCCTGACCTTTCTATGTATTAAATTACATGAGAACATCCATCCTTGTATGTTCTATTGCATGTAAAGCACCGTTTATATTTTAGAAAACTATTGTATAGAATGGATTGATTTAGGTTGTGTATAAAGCCATAAATAGGTATTTTCCCACATTGTATCTATATTGCAATGATGTTTTTTAGCATTTTAATATTGTAATATGTAAAGTTTAGACCACTGTGAGTGACTAAATAGCCAATGAAATGAGACCTAATTTATATATTGAAGCTTACAGTCTGTTGTCTGAATTATTTGCATCCTTTAAGGGACAGTTCCATAAGTATATATATTGTGGTCACAAAGTTTTTCTTACTCCTTATTTTAATTTATATTTAAGGTAAAATTAAATAAAATATTTTACCATATCCTTTTCATTAGTTCTGGTTTACTTTTGAGCTCTGAGAATACATTTGAAGAAGGAATTTGATTATAATTTAAATATGTAATTTCTTATTAGATTTGCTTTTTGTGATTAAAGTGTTTAGTTCAAATGGAATATACCTACTGCAAAGCATTGAGTTTTGAGGTTTTTTAAATTTTAGGTAGTCTAATAATCAGTCTTCTGAAATCACAGGTGAGTAGTTACCAGTATATACATTTTAAAGAAATGTAGGAACACTCATACATGTAGAAATATTAAGGATATGTAGTCTTTAGCACCTTACCTTTGGAAACTAAAAATAGAACATTCATTTTATTGTTGGTATAGTGACTTATATGCAGATTTTCTCATGAGTAGCCAGTATATTTGTCAGTGATACTTAATTGAGAAAGATACTGAACAAAGCTAACAACTGGTTCATTCTGGTTTGACCCCCTACTGAGAATTTGCATATCCACCCCAAGTACACTGAATCAGAATCAGGTGATTCTTATGTATACAGTATACATAGATATGTATACACTATACATACGTATACATGTATGTATATATATATATACATAGAATCACCTGCAGATCTTACTGAAATGTAAATTCTAATACAGTGTATCTGGGATGGACATGCAAATTCTCAGCAGGAGGTCAAACTGAAATGAACCAGTTTCTAGCCTTTGCTACTGAAATAGGGAAAACTGAAATAAGAATCAGAAGATAAGAATTAGCACAAAGCTGGTTCCTATGAGATAGAGGTCAAATATATTCCTGTTCTCTGACTTCACTACCATTTCTGACACCATCTGTTTCCCCTCATACACTATTTCTCTGTCGGATTTGATAATTCATCGCAAAGTTACAGCGAGCTTGTGGAAACACCATTTCTGCAATAACCACTTTAACAGAAGGATATAAAGAGAAATGAAGGTATGTGTAGCCTGGTGGTCAGGAGAGATCTCCTCAGGGGGCCTCAGCCTCTCAAGGGGATCCACTTCCTTCCTGAAAACTGATGTTCATTCCCACCCATTGGGAAACTTTCAAACAGGAAATTCATTGATGTCACTAGGAGGACTCACCTATCTCCTGCTGGTCTCAGCTGGCTCCAGGACAGCTTGCATACAATTGCTGCTCCAGGGCCCATCCCCAGCTCTCAGAAAGTTACAGCTCTTGGCCAAGAAACAGCACATATCATTGTCTCAATCCACTCGTCTTTTTGGTGCCATTGAGCTGCCTCCTTCACTGATGCGTGTTTATCCAATCGGGAAGGGTCACAGCACAGGGCCCTTGTGTCCAAAGGATACACTTCTCTCTGGCTTTGCAGGATCAGGAGGCTCCATCTGAGCCTCCATGATCTAGGATTTTTATAACTTCCTGGATGGGCCCCTTCAGACAGTCCAGATAAAGGTCAGTTTACTGGCAGGACTTACCAGCACATACTGGTAAAAATTGTTACCAGGTGGGGCTTCCCAGCCAATCCAGATAAAGCTTAGCCTAGGCAGGGCTCAGGAACCAGGACCAAAAGGCCAAATTACTTTTGGGTAATGTGATTCCACACTGCTGTATGGGAGCTCTTGGGGTTGTGGAAGGCTGTAGTCTATAATGAGAGCTGGAACTCCATTTTGAGGCTTGATAGAAGTTTCAGATCCCATTTGGGTTCTTTCTGACCATAAACCAGCATTATGGCTGTGCAAAGACAAGTTCCAGAACACACCTAGGGAGGGGCAATTTGCCTTCAAGAAGAGTAAGGCTGAAAGTAGATTATACTCTCACAAAGAACTAGGGAACTTACCCCAGAGTGTCCTTTTCTAATTGAAATTAGGTTGGGGTCTTGATATTGTTTAGTAGCCACCTTGTGGCTAAGAGTCTGGCCGCATGGTCATGAGTTACAACCTATCCTGGCCACCACCAAGCCAGGTAGTCAAGGCCCAAAACCAATCCTGTAACCCTTTTCTATCTTCAATTATGTATGTATCCCCATCATGGTCTTTTCCCTGTTCTGTAGTTCACCTGTAACAGTGATGAATCTATCTACCATCCATCATGATTTTGTGATGGTTTAAAATCATATAATTAGGTACATGGCCATGACTAGGCAGACTCCATTAAGTTTTCTCATGGTTATTGTTTCCCTCATCCAGGATGATTGTCTTTTTTCTGTCCACGGCTTAATAAAAGTGTCTCTGTTGAACCTGTTTGGATTTTGGGTCTCTTTTCCCCTAATACATTGCACACATATGAAAGTTTTGCTAAATTATAATGCTTCCCTAAAACATCTTTGACTTTCTTTTGTTTCTTGTTATATTAAGACATCTTAAGATACTATGTGAAAAATTAGGAATTCTAGAATTTTAATCTTTAACAATTTAGCTCTACAATTAAGGTTCAATTTGCTTTATTTACAATAAATCAAGCTGATATTTCTAAAAATAATTATTGAAATTGTAAAGGGGTCATTTTCTGAGTTTTCAAATAGATAACTGCTATTAAATATTACATGGCTTATAATTTTGATGTTTACAAACATCTTTAATTATAATACAATAATACTTTGGCTTTCTCAGATGTTTCTTTTTGCTGTTTTTGTTGTTGATGTTGTTGTTGTTATGTGCCATCAAGTTGGGCCCGACTCATAGCGACCCCTCCTTGAGTTGCTGAGGCAGTATCACTACGGAAGTAAATTGCCCCATCTTCCTTCCAAGGAGTGGCTAGTGGGTTTGAACAGCCAGCCTTCTGGTTAGCAGTCAAGTGCCTTAGGCACTATGCTGCCAGAGCAGAAGAAATAAAAATCTTAAACTTATTTTAATCACAAATCTGCATGTATTTAATACAGATTTGGCAGTTCTATGATTTATTCTTTCAAATTCTTTTTTCAAAACCTTAAGAATGAAGTTACAGGAACTTTTTGTGTATGCATTAAAAATATTTAGAGACACAGTCTTTTTAAATCTCCTGTTCTACAAGTTTTTCTATAAATAGATGGATATATTGAATATAAGGTACTAAGATTTTCTTCTCCTCTGGGTAAAATAAGATTAAACTAATAGGAAGATGACTCAGTTCCTAAAAGGCTGTTGGTAGTTCCATATAGGGAAGAAAACAAATACAAAAGTCTAAAAGAATCAAATATAAGATGAAGGGAGCATATTGTAGGAAACTGATCAATGAACACATCTGGGGCACAAGAAGATTAGGTTATTCTCATAGTTTGGGGAGATAGTGAGCACATAACCAAAAAACCAAACCCACTGCCATCGAGTCAGATCCAACTTATAGCAACCCCTCCTTGGGTTTCCAAGGCGGTATCACTAAGGAAGTAGATTGCCCAACCTTCCTTCCGAGGAGTGACTACATGCTTAATAAAATCTTATAACTAGTCCTAAAACAAAATAAGTAAATCTAGCTTTCAAACACTCCTCGGAAGGAAGGTTGGGCAATCTACTTCCGTAGTGATACCGCCTTGGAAACCCAAGGAGGGGTCGCTATGAGTGGGATCCAACTCCTCGGCACATAATGACAGCTTTCAAACAATCTGCTGAAAGCAGCCCCTACTGCTGTGATGGTCTTTGTTGAGTGTGGAGGAAATGAAAGCTTTAAAGTGTAGACCACAAGTTGAAAGCCCAAGAGATGATTCCTACTCATGTGTGTTTCGTTTGTCATGTTAACTTTAAAAATTTGTATTGTCAACATTGAAAAATACGGAGATTTCTTGACAGAAGCCCATATTTTTTAGCTTATTCTGAATCAGTCAAGATAAATAACATTGTTATTGTTGTTGTTATGTGCCGTCGAGTCGGCCCCGACTCATAGCGACCCCTCCTTGGGTTTCTGAGGTGGTATCACTACAGAGGTTGGAATTGAGTACAAACTACTTCCTTGAATGACAGAATATGTTCTCAGTTTGCCATTTTCTTACCCCAGACTGCTTCACTAATTTATAATACCTGCCTGGCCTTAGAAAAGGATTGAAGTTTACAAGTCCTCTTTTAAAGAACCTATGTGGATCGGAAATGTTCTCTTGGAGCATAAATTGGTACAGATCTATCTTTTGGAAGGTAATATGGCAGTATCAGATTTTTAAAAATACACACATACTCTTTGACCTAATAATAGTAAGAATTTATCTTGCACATATGTTTGTTCAAGTATGTAAAGATATTTGTACAAAAATGTTTACTGAAGCCTTGTTTGGGAGAGAGAAAAACTGAGAAAAGTTTTGCTACATCCATACAATAAAATGTTAGTATTTACAAAGAATAAGATGGATCTCTATGTACTGATTATATAAAGATTTCTGAGGTGTGTTGTTAAGTGAATTACTGGGTATAAAAGAGTGGTTAGTGTGTAAAAACAATAAATGTTGGGATATGTGCAAGAAATATTTCTGGTCAGATGTTTGTTAAAGTAGAGGTTCAGTAAAATAGGAGAAGAACCACAAGATGGATTCACATAGTGACTGCAACTATGGGCTCAAGTATAGCAAGGATTGTGAGGATGGCACATGACTGGCCAATGTTTCAGTCACTATGAGTCAGAGCTGACTTGACGGCACCTAACAACAACAACAACAAACTTTTGCAAAGTCAAAAAAGTGAATGCTCATAAAACTCCCTTTCTGCATTTCCTAATATTTAGCACTGTTTTCCGTTTCTTGCTCTTTTTTTTCCTTTAATTTTTTTTTATTGTTATTTGTGTCCAATTTTATAAAGCAGATTCGCTT